TATGTGAAGCAGTGAATAGTCAGGTGAAAGATGAGATGCAATAGGAGGTCAAGTTGGAAATTAGGTGAAAACTACCTCATAGATTTCTCTATCTCTCAACAGGTAATGCAAAAACATGGCAAAATAAATTAAAATGATATGATAGAGTTTACCATGAAAAAATAAATCTTCTTACCATTCCTGTACTCAATCTCACAGTTCTTTTCTCGAAGGCAAATACAGTTACAAATTTTGGGCTTATCTTTCCAAAATATTCTATATATGCATAGCATATAAGTACACATACATGTCTTTTTTGTTATTTATAAAATGGTAATATTTTATACAGACTATTCTTGCACCTTGAGTTAACTACTTCCATACTAAAGAATGTAGACATGCCTTATTTTATTTTTTTTTAATTTTTCCAGCTTTATTGAGGTTTGATTGACAGATAAATATGGTGAATATTTAATATGTACAACTTGATGCTTTGATATACACATACATTGGGAAACAGTTTCCTCAATCAAGCTAGTTGGCCTTTCCATCACCTCACATATTTACCTTTTTTGTGTGTGAGAACCCTTAAGATCTACTCTCAGGCAGATGGCAGGAGTGTGCCTGGGGACTCAAGATACTGCTGGCAGCCTTCCCACCCAGCAGGTGGCAGGAGTGCACCCAGGGACTTCAGGAGATGCCATGGGCAGCCCCTGCCACTGCCACTAATGTTTCTTCTGTGCAGGTCATCTGCCACACCCACCACTGCCAGAAGGTTGGCTCACCACCTCAGCAGCAGCCACAGCCAACATGCAGGTGGCCCGCTGACAACTTGACTGCATGGACACAAAAAGAGTGAGCAGCAGAGCACAGGTAAAGAGCAAGGAATTACTAAGTGTCCCACTGCCTATGCCACTGAGACACTAACATGCAACTGCAACTTTGAAAACAGCCAAAGCACCCACAGGGAGACTACACTACTGTGTCTACCTGGAACCAATACTAATACACTGTACTCAATGGCTGACTTGAAACACATCTACAGGAGGAAATCTCTATCCTCAAAGCTCACTCCAGAGTAATAGAAGAAGTGACTTCTCTATGAGATGGCCAGACATCCATTTAGAGATACTCGAAATACAAACAAACAAACAAAAAACAAGAATATATGACACAACCAGAGGAATACAGTAATTCTCAAGTATCAGACCCCATGTAACGGGAAACCTTTGAAATGACCAAAAGGAATTCCAAGCAACCATATTAGGGAAACTCAATGAGATATGAGAAGACTCAGTTGGACAAAACAATGAAATGAAAAAAGTATCCAGGATATGAAGGAGGAAATTACCAAGAGATTAATACTTTAAAAAAGAATGCAGCAGAACCCATGGAACTGAAGGTTTCATTCAACAAAATAAAAAACATGACAAAGAGTTTAAGCAGCAGGTTAAAGCAAGCAGAAGAAAGAATTTCTGATCCTGAAGAATGTTCTTTTCAAAATAAACCAGGCAGACAAAAAAAAAAAAAAAAAAAGAAAAGAAAAAGAATGAAAAAACTGAGGAAAAT